GTCGGTCAATGGTATCCTTCAGCCGTCTGTCGGCAGAACCAATCATAATTCGCGATACGCGATATCCTCATCGGGTGCCTAGCCACTTGTGGGTATCCTTGACGAACGCTGAGAGCGCCAATCTGAACGCCTCACGCGTCCTTCTCCGCCTCTACATCCGCCTTCGCTAAACAATTCGCTTAGAATACGCCGCTTACTTACCAGTTCCGTACGCGCATGATAGACTTTTGCTTTTCGGCTGAGCAGTGCATCGGCGAGAGGATAGTCGATATGGCTCGGGGACTGGTTGGGACTTTCAGATGTGCTACTAAGTGTCGACTGTCATGCGATTCGGTATGGCCGAACCAAGGAGATGGCTTCATCAATTGAGATCTATCAAAGTCGGTCTTGCTCGGGCTGGCGTTACTATGCTTTTGTTTCCGACATTCGTCGGGACATTTTTGCGTTCAGATCGAGCATCCATGATTCTATGAGAAAAGAGCTGGCATTGACTTTGTTTGCGCAATCGTCAAAACATTCTTAATGCATAGCGATGTCCTCGACATGCAGCATTCAGTCAGCTCCAGGCCTCCACTATCGAATCACGCTAAGCTCCCCGCCGGAATCTAGGACGTCGCTGCTCGGCCCTTCATAATGCATCTTCCCCCACTGGATGTTGCAATCTTTCCCCTCACCAGTATGAGCCGTGGAACGTACGCTCTAAAGCCCGTTCGGCCCTCTTCGACCACTTCGTCTTCATCTTCGTCTTCATCAGCATCTTCGCGGACTGCTATCACAACAGTCGACTTTCCCAGCATACAAAGAGTCATCAGAGCAGTCTTTCGGTCCTCAAGAATCAATGTTCAGCAAATTGAAGTCCAGCAAGGGTGCATACACCAGGTTTATCTCGCAAGACTTCAAGATGGCAGTTGTTTGATACTCAAATGCCCACCAGCTTATAACATCCGACTCCTCCGGCATGAGAAGCACTTCCTGGAGACAGAACGCAAAGCACTCGAGACACTGCACGAGTATACACAAGTACCTGTGCCTCAAATCATCAAGTATGATAGCCATGGTGGACCGCTTGGTGCACCATTTCTTATGATGAGCCACATGCCTGGTCGCAAGCTCTCGGAAATCGCGCCATACATCTCGACCAGCGAGAGAAACTCCATCGATCACACACTAGGCACACATGTCCGCGCTCTGACTGCACTATCTGCCACCCAATTTGGTATGACACACCGTGTCTTCGTCAAAAAGGGCAGCAACTCCTGGCGCGAGGCTTTCTTTGCTCTCCTCGAAGCCGCACTACGCGATGCTGAGGATATGCTTGTTAACGCACACTCCGAAAGTATACGTTTCTGGGTTGGCAAACACGCGCACTGCCTGGAAGAAGTTACCGAACCGCGCCTTGTAGCGCTCAATCTCTGCGACCCGGAGAACGTGCTCATCGACGAACGTACCAAGCAGGTCATAGGTCTTGTCGGATTTTCGAACGTCATCTGGGGCGACCCTCTCATGAGCGGCGGTATCGCGGATGGCAATGAAGCGTTCTTCGCCGGCTTGGGAGATTACCCTGTGAAGACTGGGGGCGCGAGGGTCAGGATGCTGATGTAAGTACCAAGTGCGGGTAATTAGAAGGCCGCAATGCTGACCGTAATAGGTACAAGACTTACCGGGCCACGGTGCGGATCGTCGCACACCATTACCGGCCGCATGACGGCATTGATGAGCTCGGTGCGAGACGAGAGCTGAGCTGTGCACTCAACGACCTCGCAGCTATCTGAATCGTACTAGCGAGGCAGCTAGATTCTACGAGCGAGCTCTCGTAGCGCCTTGCTACAAGCGAATCGAGTGCCGAGCAACACATTGTGCTATAAGAATGGAGTTCCGAGCGGAAGGGTATCGTGTTTTTGGGTCTCAAGTATTGGAATTCAAGGCGTAAGGCGTTCGGGTTCTGTACTATGAAACATTGAGTATAGTGAGAAAAACGCTCGCTGTTCACGCATGACCATCGGTTAATTGCGTGCGGCTAAGTGTAGCGGGCGGTGTAACGATGTTGCTGTACCGCTTAGATCGGATGCGAAAGGGCGCGCAAAACTGAGTTCCACGGCATAGAGTCGAGCATGGCGTAAGCTTACATTATCTGATATTCCCCTCTCCCGTTTGCAATCTTCAGGACACTGTCGTCCAAGTAGTTGAGTACATGTATTTTCAGTCGTCAAAGAAGCTAGTGGCCAAAACGAGTGATAGAAATTTGAAAGAAAGCGGATGCAAATACCGTCTTGACTTCATCGTACACTTTGGCAAATGATGCGAATGTGCAGCAACCAGGGTAAGCGAACGTTGCGATCCGAAGCAACATCCTGGCGCTGTAAGTCGCCCAATCTTGAAGACACATGGATACACGAGGAATATACCATTCGCACATCAAACCCACAAATTTCGACGCGGACGTGGCTGATGTTCCGCCCTCTACGTTGATTTGTCTTTGTCGACACGTTAGCCACGTATCCAAGTACCTACGTACCTAAGGTTCTGCACATGCTATGAATCGGCTACCCTTGCGAGGGCGCCTGAGCCCACCACATGCCCGAATGCTCCTTCTCGCTCACCCCTGTTTCTGATAACGTACCTAGGTATAATGGGTAGACTGTAGAAAGGCACCCACCAATCATTCGCGTGCAGACTCGCTTGATGGCGCTGCATTGGGAGTAGCGTTCGAGAGGGGTAGGCGAAGATAGACGACGCGTTGCGGACCGATGTTCTTCGGAGTCGTAAGTTGCTGGAATCTCGCTACGCATGTAAGTGACGGGCGGCAGCGGCCTGGCGTAGACAACGGGGTAGGGGAAAGGCTGTAGGCAAGGCAGGGGTACCGAGGTATTTGTGTCGACAGGTAGTCGCACGCGGTGCACCTTGAACAGTGACTCTTGAGATATAAAAACACCTTCGACAGCCGGCTAGAAATTGGACTGAATGAAACGACATCGGTCTTTTCCATCTTGAAGATGCGCCTCTACGAATGTTCTTGGACTATAACTCTTGCTCACATCCCTGGAAGAGAGAACTTTGGAAGGTACTTAGGCATGCCTGCCTAAGCAGACACTGCTCAACCCATCTATTGAGACTTCATTATATCAGATATACAACATGCTTGTCTACACCGCGTCCTTCTCCCTCTCGGCTTTAGCGAGAGTCTAGCTTACCTAGGTAGTAGGCATTGGATCTTGTCCAGGTGGCCAAACCTCAAGCTACAATGTGTCTGGCTTCAACACCAGAACTTAATTTTTTTTCCGCATATGTAGACAAGATAAACGGGGTAATTGTTTCATGTTACAGCGCCTTCAGATTGATCACGTATGATTGGATCGATTTTGTCCCTATCACAATCGCGACGCTACGCCCGATACAGTTAGTTAGCCCCCACGTGAAGAACGGGAGCTCCCACCCGTGAGGGGAACGGAAGACGCGACGGAAGGTTCGGGGCAGGCTTTCACTTCATATGACAATCGCGCGTCTACCTGCATTCTTTTACCTGGCGTTTCGACCGGTTCTCTGTCATGCGCAACGGGGATCCCAGATCCTGCCGCCCATTCGAAGGTTTTACTGAAGATCCCTCCACCGCGGCGCGTGCTTAACGCTGAAGTATTGGCGCGAACCGCTGCAACAATCCCAATGTCCACCCGGGCGCTTAGCCAACTATGTTATTGCACGATAGCCTCAAGAACTCTGCGCATCCGCTATGTCGGTACCGGATTAAGTATGAAAGTGGAATCAGCGGTGCTGTGCCGCAATCTATCTGCGCGGACGATCGATGCAGGTACAGCTTGAACAGCAGACGAAGATGGCTTAAGTAGCCTCTATGTATGCGCTTCTCTGTGCGATAACCTTGGATACAGCCACCGAGTCGCTGTAAGTTTCCTTTCAGGCCAATCCCGTTTGAGCGCACTTGGAGCATCTGTCGTTATGGATCGAACATTAGGAGGTCATGCGCCTTCAGTCCCAGCGGACTCGTCTGCTCAGTCTACAACAGATACCATGCCTTTGGGCACAGGTTAGTAATCAATTACCTCTGAAGATCTAGGCGGCTAACAAACTTGCCAACACAAGCTCCAACGGATCGGAAAGGGAGCTGGCTGCCATTTACCTTTAGATGGTATTCTCTATTGATCCCGATAAGTGCCACCGCCATCCTGGGCATAACAATATCGCTACTTATTTGGTACTCGCAACACCACTACGGACTCGGTGCCGATGACGGATCTTCTGCAGTACTGTTTGGATGGCGCTTCACACCAACTCTGCTAGCAGTGCTGTACACACAATCCACGGTTATCCTATTTGAAGATGCCAAGAGAACGGAGCCGTTCGCTCGATTAGCTCGAGCACCTTCAGAAGGCGCCAGTGCCTACGGTACATTACTCCAGACGCCCAGGGCCTGGTGGGCTATCTTACTGGATATCGTCCTCAAGCGCAAGTCGGTCGGTAAAACCAGTTGGTGTCTCATCTGCACGGCTGTAATCAATGTGGTGGCCCTTCTCGCTATATCTCCTTTGTCATCCGCCCTTCTTACATCCGAAGAGATTGTAATCACCAAAGCGCTTGACATCAGCAGAAGCGTTCCTAGGATTGGTCTCCAACTGCCCATTGTCGCCAGTAGAGAAACCTATTTCAGAACTACGTCTGCGCTGATGAGGAATCTCTCTACTTCAGCATGGATAAAAGATACTTCTATCACCTTTCCGAATTGGCCGTCTACAGATACAGCACAACTCGGCCCCGATCTGATATCAAGCTTCAACTCCTGGACGGCAGAGACAACGACAATACATGCGAACCTAGGTTGTCGGGACATGACGCTAGAAAGCGCTGATCTTGTGCCGATGGAATACAAAGAGTACGATATCATGGGCCACGGGCCATACAAGGGCGTAGAACCCATGGTAGTCTTTGCTTTAGCATCGGACGACGGTTGCAGACACGAAATAACCGTCCACCCTGCGGTTAATCTGGCAATGCGTGGAGGCCTGACATGGTCAAACACTTCTACTTTCTACATTGAGGATGAGCTGCTGCCCCTCGGTAGAATGCCGTTTCCCAGTAACGTCTCCTCGACCAGTCCGTATGCGCGCCACTATGCCTCTCCAGAATGTGCAGACCGGGATATCATCATTCTCAACACCCCGTGGACCAAGCCCGTCAGGTTGGAGCTGAGTGAAGCGGCAGGGACAGGACTTGAGCTCAACAGGACCTATGAACGCTCGCCTGACTTTCGCATGAAGGCATTGCTTTGCAAATCTCAGTATTCTATGGAAACACACAACACTTCTACTTCAATAGGCCAAGGCAAAGAGCCGAACATTACGTCCATGGAGTCGGACCATATTCAGCCCGTGTCAATCACGAAAGATATGATAGACATCCCTAAGTTTGAAGAGATGGCACTACAAGACACTTGGAAATACTATTTTAACGCCGAAAGCATAGCGACTGATGCGGACCGTGCTCTGGGCGGCCAGCTTGGCCCTTACTCCGATCCGAACATGACGACCAACGCTCCAGAGTTCTTTGGGCTTGGTCCGCTGCTTGGCGCTCTCTATGCATTCAACGTTACCGAAATGTTGAACGACAGGGAGTTTATTTCCCGCGCAGAAAGAGTCAAAGGAAGATTCTTCACGGAGTGTCTTCGCGAGGCCTTGAACGACCCCGACGTAACACGCGTCGAAGTTACAAAAGGGAAGGCAACAGTGGTCGAAAATAGAATCATGGTACTCCAAGAGATCGGAATCGCTTTGGCTACCCTCTTCTTGGTCTCCTTCTTGCTACTCATCATGGTATTTTGGGTCTCACGACTATCATTTCGGCCGCTCGACCTCAGCATGGACCCCGGCAGTACCCTTGGACATGCTATGTTAGTTCAATCGCATCCGACACAATCATCAACATTTCGAGAAGGTCATCGTATAGCGCATCACGATTTCCGCCAAAGAATAAGGAATGACACATTTTACATGCGGGATGGTGCTATACATACTGCAAGCAGTGATTGCCTCGCAAGCACATGTAAGTCAGCAATGCCATGTAATCGAAGCTGTGAGCTGATAAATGCCTTCAATAGCTCCCACAACCACTAAATCTTCAAGCTTTTGGCAGCCGTTGGTCATCCGACTTCGTATGCTGTTTGCTCTTTCAAGCTTCCTTATCCTGATCCTGGTTGCGGTGTTAGTACTGAACGCTTTCTCTGCGAGATCTCGACTTTCTCAGCTTGCATTCGTTTACGAAGCCGATGTTTCTAAGTTGGGCTTGAGCTTCTCCACCTTTGCTCCTATCTCTATCGGACCCACAGTTGTCAGTATTGTGATCGGCTTGTGGTGGGATCAATTGGATTCAACATTCAGAATCCTCCAACCCTATTTTGCGATGTCGCAACGGCCAACACCCATCACCAATGGAGCGGGTCTTACGTACCGTTCCAAAACCTGGGCTGGTGCGGCTATCAAGGCCGCCCGCAACAAGCATTGGATGCTGTTCCTGGTCGCTACTGGAAGCGTTCTCTGCCAAATTCGTAAGATTATCATGATCGATGGTCTTCTAGCTTGCTGACTTCAATTTGCCAGTCACCGTTTCGATGTCCGCGCTCTTCGAACGACAAGCTGCGAACGTATCTCATCGAGCGATTCTTGAGAGGACGCTGGAACCTCGAGAGATACCCATTATAACTACGGTGAAGACCTACGAACAACGAATGGGTGCAGCTATTCCGGGTCTGCCTCCATTTGAAGTACTCAACGATCTTCTGCTGAATCCGCCTAAAAATTGGCTTCCCGGCGCTGCCATTCAGCTATCACTCAATGGCACTAAGCCTTCTTGGACTCAAGATGATTGGAGTTTCATACCCTTCAATCTTACCAGTATTTCCCAAGTGGATGCCAAAGAGACGATAACGTTTCCGAATAACGTAACAATCACAACATCTGCTCTACGAGCTCGGCTAGAATGCGAGCAAGTACCCGAAGTAGCGAACACATCGACATGGCTCATTCATCCCGATGAAATTGATTCCCAGGTCACACCGACGGATCTGGAGGGCCTGGAAAATTACTACTCCTTCAATCATACGATGTTTGGCGGCAGCCCGTCAAACACTTCAGCATTTGGCACCAGCGCTATGCTGTCGTGTTGCTCAAACGGAACCAAGGACGATCTGAATTCAGCAGTGATAGGATACTGGTCCCCAGTAAATGTCGAAGCGTTCCCAAACGCAGACAGTCAGTGGCCGATTCCATTCGTTACGAAATGGATCGTTGGTAAGCCTGTAACAGTTCCAGGCAGAGACGAGAACCAAGGACCAATGCTGCTTTTCAAAGATGTACCCGATTTACAAGCCGCTCGTTGCATGCCGATAGTGGAGACGTCAGATGCCAAAGTGGTCGTGGACGTGGAAACGGGCATGGTCCAATCCTATGAGATCATCAGCCCTGTCGGCCCTGCAAAATCAGCATGGTCCGAAGTGTTTGTCCGACACGCACCGACCCATGGCAACGCAACGCAGCAATACGACAAAAAATACCGAGGACCGTTGAACGTCACCACGAGTTATGGGGTCTTATTCATGGGATCCATGTTCAAGGCCGCTGACCCGAATCTCGGGCCAAAAGGGACATTATTCATGGAATCTCTTCGCGACAATGCCTTCATCATGCGCGACGCTGAAACCGGCATGAACATGGACCTGATGACATACAGCATGTATAGCCTCGCCAACAAGGATCCGCAGGCTTTGCTCGACTACGCAACACTTGTCACACACGCAAACCATACCTTCCAAACTTTCTTCCAGCACTTCATCAGCAATGGTCTATCTTTAGAGCAAGGCGGTTGGGCGTACCAAAAGATCGGCGACAACAGTACACATGCGTTAGGAGAGCCAGTGACATTGGATGGCAGGGTTCTTCCGCGACGCAAGTACGCAAGTCTCCACACCAATCGAACAGTTGAGGCACTGGTATCCCACCGAACCCAGGTTCTTCATATGAATGCAATCGCTACGTATCTGTCGGTGGCAATAATCATCTGGCTTATAGGCACTACAGCCGTAGTCAGTTCTCTACAGAGAAGATGCACGAGTCCCTTGCTTCGAGACGTGCAACTCATCGCCGACGTACTTGTACTTGTCGCAGGGAGCGATCATCTTTCGCGATTGGTAGAAGAACGAGGTGTAGCACTAAAGAACGCGAATGACGTCAAAACCATGCTAGGGTGGTTCAAAGACAGAAACGGAGAGGTGCGTTGGGGTATTGAGGTTGTTGGGGGCAGAGATGCAGCAGAGTGGGTAGACGCCCCAAAGACCGGTTGGCATGCGCAGGATGGTTCGAGGCGGGGTTGGATTCCATGGAGAAAAGCGCAATCGTAGTATTAGAGAGGAATCGTTTTTTTTTTCAACTAAGCTATGGTAGAGGCAACAAACGTGGACACCGAGCCCTAGGGAAGGTAGCGCTAGATAGTCAAGAGGTATGTATCTGCCGAGATGCCGTCTCTACGTCGACCGTGAAAGCCAGAAATAGCGAGAAGGTAGGCAACCCTAATAACTCTACAACAACATCTTTTAAGAGAATTATAAAAAGATAGAATTACTCGCAGTAGCTTACTCTATATATTAGATTTTTTAGATTTTTTATGTGTTGCGTTATTGTGCAGAGAAAAAAGATAAGGTTATATTATTCTAAATCTTACTTCTAGCTTTTATAGTTAACCTAGAGTGTTAGTTAGAATTCTATTACGTAATTTACTTACACTAGTACTAGCGTTACTCTAGTATTATTTATATAAAGCTTTCTCTCTCTTTTATAAAATAATTATATTTTTTCTTATTCTATAGGTTATAAGTCTCTACGCTACTATATATAATTTAGCTACTACTCTACTTTATATTATAGTTATATAATAAGAATTTCTTTAGCGTTACTATTATATAACTAAGTTATTACACTTTTTAGCGTACTAACTACTATAAATTTATACTTACTTCTCTCTATATTTTATATTTACTTATCTACTATAATATTTACTATTAATAGCGTTACTACTATCTTAAGTAAGAATTTTAAGAAGCTTACTAGCTCTAATAACTATTATAAGTAGACTAAGGCTTTTATTAATATTTGCTTTATTTATAAATATATAGCGTACTATAATAGTACTATTAATAACTCTAAAAAGCTTAATTTTCTTTTCTATATTACTTTTTAAGTTATATACTCTAGGTCTAATATTAACTTACGCGCTACTATACTAGTTTCTATCTTAACTAACACTATAAATAAGCTAGCTATCTATAACTATACTTTCTAGAAGTAAAAAAAGTATAATAAAACTATATACTCTACTATTATCTTTTTTTATATCTCTATTAAGCTATAGATTTAGCGTAAACTTAATAAGAAGAATACTTTTAACTCTTACTTTATATATAGTACTATTTAGCTTAATAATAAAACTTCTAAGAATATCTTAGTAGACTACACTCTAACTAAGCTTAATAATATTACTATAACTAACTTTATAGCTATTAGGCCTTTTCTTACCTAGTATAAAAGTCTATACTATAACCTTAATAATACTAGTAAAACTATATTATATAACTAGCTTATTAATAAAATTAATAGAGTTCTTTTTTACTAGTATAATTCTTTTCTAAACTATTAGAAGCTTAACTACTATAGTACTTTTATTACTACTAATATTTTTAGAACTTATAAGACTTTTCTCTTTAACTACTATAATAATAATAAGAATAAGTAGACTATTCTAAAGAATAAGCACTCTTATAAAGATTCTACTACTAACTAGCGTAATATTTACTCTATTAATAATAGCTTTAATAAGTCTAACTTACTTATATACTTATACTATAGTAATATTAGTTACTTTATTAATATCTACTATTATATAAGTAAATATAATATACCTATATATATCTTCTATAAGAAGCTAAGTTATATTAAAGCTACTTATTATAAGAAGGCTTATAAGAATACTTTATTTACCTCTACTTCTAACGTAGATCTTACTCTTATTAATAATAATAATAATATATTTTTCTCTAACTACTTTAACTATATAATTACCTCTACGTATAATCTTTTCTTACTCTAGAATACTTTTAATTTTAATTATCTTAATATTAACTATCTAAACCTTAACTATATATATACCTACTCTATACTTATAACTAGCGCTAATTTCTCTTAGAACTATAAATATCTTACTTATATAAGAGAGGCTAACTATAAAGTTAATAAATATATATTAGATTTAGATATAGTTAATAGTTCTAATATATATACGTTTATAGCTACTACTTCTCTTACTATTTCTATATTTAATTTCTAGATTCTTAATAGTAGTACTTTCTACTATATTATAAATAATTTCTTTTTATTTTCTTATTTTAAGTACTACACTAAGCATATTAGAGCCTATAAGTAAGGCTTATAACTTAAAATTACTAGAAAAGGTAATATTAAGTTTATTATTACTAATTATAATAGCTTCTATCTTATTCTTTAGCTAAGTAATATCTATTATATACCTAATATCTACTATAACTTACTTTCTATATTTTCTTTTATTAATACTAATTCTAAGTACTATATACTTACTAATTAAAAGAATAGTATACTATTATACTATAAATATAATAATAAGAAAATTACTTAGACTCTACTATACGCTAACACTAATATCTATATTCTAAGTATAACTTATTTCTCTAATCTTATTATAGCTACTACTATTAACTTTAATAATCTAGTATAGTTAGAGTATTATTACCTAGAGTATCTTTCTCTTTTATATATACGCTATTTTACTAAGATTAGTAATAGTATAGCTATTACTAATAAGTAAATTTAAGCTAAGCTTAAAGATTAGTGTCTAGTCTATACTACTACGCGCGCTCTTTATAAAATTTCTAAAAACTTTATAAACTAGTATTATAAATATATTAGTAAACTAGTTACTATTAATATCTAGAGACTATATTCTATTTTTAGTTTTAAAGGTAAACGCTATATACTTTTTCTTATTAATAACGCTACTTATTTTATATAAATTAGTTTCTTTAAAGTTAAAAGTAAGATTACTTAGCTTTTTCTAAATATCTTTTAACGCCTCTCTAATAAATATAGTTATTCTATTATATATCTTTATATAATAATAAGTTTATATAATAAGTAATTACTAACTACTATACTACTTATAGTATTACTATTAAAGCTAGTATACTCTATACTTATTATTAAGCTAGTGCTACTAAATGCTTACACTATATAGTATAGAAGCGTACTACTATAATAATTTAGAATTTTATACTTATCTTTTCTATAGTCTAGAGAATTATAAACTAAAATAAAAAGACTTTTTATAATACTATACTACCTAAAGACCTCTAGATATTTACTATAGTTAAGTTAGTTAATAAGAAGAATTAAGCTTTTTCTAAAGCTTTCTATTTTCTAAAAATACTATATAAAGTACTTTATAGTAAAAGACCTAACCTAGCTAGAGATAATACCTAGAGTACTTATATATACGTTACTTTTTTTCTAGAGCTTATAGTACTATAAACTATTACTAAGCTCTATTATCTCTATAGTTATCTTACTTACTTTTTATATACTCTAAGTAACTAGATCTATTTTATATAGTAGTCTAACACTTATAAAGTAAAGCGTATTACTATTACCTAAATTAATAACTCTACTAGCTTTAATAATATATAGTTTTATAAGCTTTATATTAATAATTATATACCTTTTATACTATCTTCTATTCTAGATATAGTCTATAACTTTAATAGTTCTTTCTACTCTAAATTATATAACGCTAATATTGTCTTTATATCTTTTAATAGTATAACTAATATATTTAGTATAGAAATTAATTAGTTAGAGTTACCTAAACTACTATAGGTATATAAGCCTATTAATAAGAATAGAGTATATAGTCTATATCTATATTCTAACTATAAGTACGTATAATTCTTTAATACTAATAATAATTTATATAAATAGTGTATTAAAAGAAATAGAAATTATAACTACTAGATCTAGTCTAACTATAACTATCTATAGCGTTAGTAGTAGAAGAATATATAATATAAAAAAAAGTAATAGTAACTTAAAGTGTCTTCGCTTAGGTAACTAGAGGTATTACCTTACTTTACTAGCGCTTTTACTTCTACTTTACTCTCTAGAAACACTTTATCTATTATACCTAGTACTTCTACTACTAGTAATAATATTATTATTCTCTTTACCTTTATTTACGCAACTAGTAATAATACTATTATTATTCTCTTTACCTCTATCTATATAACTAGTAATAAGAATATTATTATTTCTAGTACTATAATATATAGTGTAGATATTATAATTCTATTAACTTCTAATCTAGTAAACCTCTTTCTATTTATAGAATAGATACTTAGTTAGACTCTAGAGCTAGACTAGTATAGCGCTACCTAACTAGTTCTATATACTACTTATTTAACTAAGAAAGTAGTCTACTCTTTTAGTAATCTAAGTAGTAAGTATTACTTATATACTAAAACCTACTAATACTACGTCTCTAGTATAGTAGAGAAATAGTAATATATAATTACTATCTACTACTCTTATACTCTTATAGGCGTATATCTTAAATATATTTACTAGTTACTAAACGCTCTCTATAATATTTATATCTCTACTTATAGCTAACTTAACTATATTTTAGTTATTTCTATTACTATTCTAATACTTTCTTATAAGAACTAGTATATTATATACTAGAAGTTTTAATACTTCTATAGAAAGGTAAATAGTAGCTTATCTATAGTTTAGTATAATAGCGCTTACTTATATAATATATATATTAACTACTACTAAGCGTACGTCTACACTAAGAATAAGAATAATCTACTCTATATAGTGTACGTGTATAAGAGTAGAAGGTATAATCTTACTATATCTTATAGAAGATATATAAAGAACGC